GGATGGCCGAGGATTCCTTGGCCGAAGGGGCGCTACTCTATTCACCGGGGTCAGAGTCGACGGTGTGCGGGTGGATCGCGTGTCTCGACCAAGCGATTCCCGTGGCGATTCTCGCGCGTTTGATCCCCTGTTGACAATACAAAGGTGGACCGAAGAAGCCAAGACGTTGAATGGCAAGCACGTTTCCGAAAGAGCAAATAGGCTGGGCAGCCATGTCATCATAGCGTTACTCCCAGCCGCTATCGAGGCCTCACAACAGAGGGAACAGCAGAAGCGTCAAGCTCAGATCAAAGCAGAAGAAGCGGAAGCACGCCAATTGGAAGCTGATCGCACTGGGGTTGAAGAGGCTGCAACTTCTGGCATGGTAGCCTCTCATACAAGTCCGGAAACCATTGCGAATGCACAGCCCGAGCCTATCACATCTGATCCACCACCTCTGACCACCATTGCTTCGAACTCTGACGTAGAAATGGGTGATATAACCTCCCTTGCTCCGCATTCTGACGAGCATGTCGCAGCTCGAGCTCCAGAAGCCTCAGAAGAAGAAGAAATCTCCGCTGTAGGAGAAGTACCAGGGCCTTCTCAACCTGCTCCCTCTGAGCGTGTTATTGTGATGATCCATGGTAGCGAGGTGGATATCACTGACATGGGCATTGATCCGACTTTCCTTGAAGCCTTACCTGACGATATACGAGAAGAGGTCATCAACCAACATGTACGGGACCAACGCGCAGCAAGGGTCGAGCGCCCTGCCGACTCCCAGATCAGTCCAGAGTTTCTTGATGCCTTACCGCCGGAAATTAGAGCCGAACTCATCCAACAAGAAAGGATAGAGCAGTCCAGACATGCTCCAGTGCCTGCACCCACACAAGGCCCTCCAGGAGTTGCAGCGGATATTGATCCGGCAAGCTTTATTGCTAGTTTGGATCCACAGCTCCGACAAGTCGTTCTGATGGATTCTGATGATGGTTTGTTGCAAACTCTACCGTCTTACATGATTGCGGAGGCTGGTGTTTACCGCGATGAGGTAAATGGATCTCGAGGCGGTATCGCTGCTCGCGCTCTCAGAACTACTGCTACTGCTCAACGCCCTCTCCCACCTCGCAAAGTCCCCGCCCCGCGCGATGCTATTCAGCTTCTCGATAAGGCTGGGGTAGCGACGCTCGTTCGCCTACTCTTCTTCCCTCACGTTCTAAAGAAGAATCTGCTTTTCAAGATCTTGGTCAACATCTGCGAAAATAGCAAGACCCGTTCTGAACTATTCAATCTTCTTCTCAGTATTCTCCAAAGTGGCCCAGGGGACCTGGCTGCAGTGGACAAGAGCTTCGCGCAAATGACAACTCGTACTCCAAAATCTGCGGTGCTTCAAACACCTAAAGCCACTGCCAAGGTGAAAACAGCAGCGGACCTCAGCACACCAGTGGCGATTGGCGGCTTTCAGATCGAGACAGTCCCAGACCTCGTCGTGCAGCGTTGCCTAGAAGCCATGACCTATATCGTCAGTTCAAATGAACAGTCGTCGCTATTCTTCTTGACCGAACATGAACTCCCGGCCGGTTTGAGGAAGATGCCCTCTAGGAAAGGCAAAGGCAAGGAAAAACCAATGCCCCAGACGCATTTCCCAATTGTATTACTTCTTGGCCTTCTTGATCGACAATCACTCCTCAAAACACCCTCGACAATGGATTCCGTCGTGACGCTCTTATCGACGGTCACCAAACCTCTGACAAGTCTTAAATCGGATAAGAATGAGCAGTCAAATGACGTTGCGCCAGAGACTTCCACTTCTGTGGCACCTGCTGGTGCACCTGCAACGACTACCTCTGAGGATGCCGGGGCCCACGAATCAACTGGTCAGTTTTCAATTATGGGTCCACATCAAATCTGATGTCCATTGACAGCAGCGTCAGTTGAACCTCTTAAGCCTGATGTCCCAGTAGAAACTCAGACAGATGTGAAACCCTTACTTGCTGTTCCCCCACAAATCCCCCATTCGGTGTTGCGTTTGATCGTAAACATTCTTGCGGTCGGAGAATGCTCATCACGCACCTTCCAGCAGTCTCTTGCCTTGATACAAAATCTCTCACACATTCCTGACGCGCGCGATATAATCGCGCAGGAGCTTAAAACAAAGGCGCAGGACTGTGGACATACCATCCTTGCTGACCTGGGCGATCTCGTGAATGCCTTGACGAGCTCACGCGATGATGTCTTGGCATCCTCCGTCGCACCGAAATTCTCGTCGCCATCCTCAGATCAGACGAAGCTTCTACGGGTTCTCAAAACCATTGACTACATGTATACGCCCCGCGTGGTTGGTCCCGTGACAGACGAAACTCGGAAAAGTGAAGATGCTGAAAAGGTGCAGACTATCTACGAATCCTTCCATTTCGCACCTCTTTGGAGACGCTTAGGAGATTGTCTGTCTACGATTGAAGAGAAGCCAGAGCTGGAGCACATGGCAATTGTACTGCTCCCTCTGATCGAGGCACTGATGGTAGTCTGCAAATACGTAGGATCAAAGTCGGCCGGGGCTCGTGCCCTTCGAGCAGCAGCATCTCCTCGCTCTCCAACGACTTCTCGGGAGAGTATGGAGGACCTCTTCGTGTCCTTTACGGATGCGCACCGCAAGGTGCTGAATCTCATGGTCCGCAATAATCCGTCTTTGATGAGCGGCTCGTTCTCCTTGCTGGTACACAACCCCCGTGTCCTCGACTTTGACAACAAACGAAATTATTTCACTCAGCAACTTCACCGTCGCCCGCACCCCCGTGAACACCAGGGCACGCTCCAGTTAAACGTACGCCGAGCCAGAGTGTTCGAGGATAGTTTCCAGTACCTTCAGCGCAAGACGGGAGAACAGATCAAACATGGCAAACTTAGCGTACGCTTCTATGACGAGGAGGGCGTGGATGCTGGTGGCGTTACCCGAGAATGGTTTCAGATCCTGGCACGTCAGATGTTCGATCCTAATAACGCTCTCTTCCAACCTTGCGCGGCCGACCGTCTCACTTACCAGCCTAACAAGAACTCATGGGTCAATCCCGAGCATTTGTCTTTCTTCAAATTTGTAGGACGCATCATTGGAAAGGCGATCTATGATGGCCGTCTCCTAGACGCCTACTTTGCGAAAAGTATATACAGACAGCTCTTGGGGAAACCCGTGGACTACCGGGACGTCGAGTGGGTTGATCCTGCGTACTATAACTCGTTGTGCTGGATTTTGGATAATGATCCAACGCCCCTGGACTTGACATTCAGCGTGGAAGCGGATGAGGTCTGATAAATAAACTTCCTTGCATTCTATTCGTGGCTAATTTTCTCAACAGTTTGGTGTAAATCGTATCTTTGCTTTAAAGGAGGGCGGAGAGTCAATACCCGTAACGCAGGAGAACAAGCGAGAGTTTGTGCAGCTCTCTGCAAATTTCCGACTATATTCGTCAATCAGCAAGCAAATTGAGAATCTTGTAGCAGGCTTCCAGGAGATCATTCCAAATGAGCTTATCACAATCGTAAGTGCGTTTCATGACCAACTATGGCATGCATGCTCACGTATTCTATTAGTTCAATGAGCAAGAGCTTGAGCTACTCATCTCCGGCACTCCTGATATCGACGTGGACGAATGGCGCGCAGCTACTGAGTACAGTGGCTACACAAGCTCTGACCCCGTGATAGTTTGGTGGTGGAGAGCTCTGAAATCCTTTAATCGAGAGGAGCGAGCCAAGGTCCTCAGTTTCGCTACTGGTACTTCACGGGTACCGCTTGGTGGATTCGTGGATCTGCAAGGTGTTCAGGGCGTTCAGAGATTCTCCATTCATCGCGCATATGGAGACCCAGATCGATTGCCACAGGCCCACACTTGTAAGGCCCCCGTATGCGATTATATTTCATTTTCTGACTTTGTTCTTTCAGGCTTCAATCAGATTGACTTGCCGCAATATTCTTCGTACGAGATGTTGCGACAACAATTACTACTCGCCATTAACGAGGGCGGGGAAGGATTCGGATTTGCATGATGCAGAGTATCTCAATGGAGAATAGACTATTTGATATTGATCACCGACATGTACTAGAAACACGCATTGTATATATAAGCAATTGCATATTCCTCAGCACTTTTGTTCTTGTGCCCATTAATACTACCAAAGGTTTGCTTCTGTCCTATCATCGACCCGGATCGTTAGTGGACCTGGAGCTAGCGCTCACCCTGCGGGACAGAAAAGCCAACATCGATGCAGATCTGAGGGGCTATATCATCATGCTGGTGAATAATCGAACACGCTGAACTGGTCGCCTACCAGTGGCAAGCAAGGCTACTGGCCGACCAGGGTTCAGACAGTGTAGGAGGCAGAACTACTTGGAGTTAGTTGTAACTTGTAAGCGGCAGAACTGAAAACTCTAGACTATTAAACAAGGTTATGACTCGGACATTCCTAGTAATAATGATAACATCAATGTTACCTCGTCCTATCCATTATCTTGTAATTAGCCTCCACCTCCACCTCATCTTGAATAGCCTGTGGTATATTCCTTGTTCGACACCTCGTCAAAACCAAAAGCATTTCCCTCGAGCACGCGAACTTCATCAATGCTTTGAACTTCTTCGGTCCTCTTCAACTCTTCGAGAACTGCAAATTCAACAGCAACATCATCAGGCGAGATACTCTCTGGACCAGTAAGAAGGTCATTTGCATCATGAGGCTCGGTCAAGAGAGAGGAGATGCTTCAAGGTCTTGTGCGATCTCGGCGGTGATAGTATTTGTTGGCAACCTCTTCACGAGTGTGCATCATGTATGGCGCGTAGCCTCCGGTTTTTATGGTGCGCTGTGTCAATTAAGAGAATACACCATTGCATGGATTGTGTTGTGCCGAGATCAGTGAGAGAATATGCCAGAGGCAAAGAACTGCAATGCTACGTGCGTGGGTGTGACGCGAGGGGGGCTTCGTTCAGCAACATCTTACTTTAGAAAGAATTCAACCAGATCATCTCTAGGCGAATCTCGGAGTTCTGTCAGGGAGCACACAGTTTTGCCAGACCTAGGTCTAGACCTCCGGCAACCTTGCCAGACCACGTGAAAGGACAACCGGTTATTGTGAGTTGACAATGCCTTGAACTTAAGTGTTTCTGTCCAATCGTCATCACAACATGCGAGCGTATGTGGTGAACAAGTGGGTCCACCCGTCTGAACTCAAGCTTGTCGACAATGTGCCAGAGCCGAAAGCCGCAGGCGACGAGATAATTGTGGATGTATATTCGTCAGGGCTGAATTTCTTCGATGTGAGATGCATCGTTTCCACAGCATCTCCAGTTGTTCTCTGACGCAGTTTCTTATACGTTAATAGATATTGCAATCTCAAGGAAAATACCAAGTCAAACCTCCATTTCCTTTCACTCTCGGTGCGGAGTTCGCAGGCAAAGTTGCCGAAGACTCTCCGATTCCAAAGGGTTGTCCGTACAAGCCTGGCGACAGAGTTTTTGGTCAAGCACAAGGATGTTTCGCAGATAAAGTCGCTGTCAGATGGCAGGCTGCGAACAGGCTTCCGGATAACATGACTTACGATCAGGGTGCAGGTGTGTTGAGCCCAGAACTATGGTCACTCGCCCGAATTTCCACATGTGCTAGGACTATTCATTACATGGCCGACTAGCTACGAGGCTCTGGTTGGTCGTGCAGAGCTCAAGCCAGGTGAATCCAGTCATCAAGCATGTCTCGTTCGTGTGTTAACAATCCATTCCAGGCGAATCTATCCTCGTCCATGCGGCTGCCGGCGGTGTTGGCATTGTTGCTGTTCAATTGGCCAAAGGTTTGTCCTCTTCTGAAATGGATTTCCGTCCTTGAACTTACTGTATACATCAGCACTAGGTGCTACAGTCATTGCTGCAGCTGGATCACAGTCTAAACTTGATATTTGTAAGACGTACGGGGGAGCCGATTATACGATAAACTACACAGAGAAGGACTGGCAGAAAGAAGTATTGCGAATCACCAATGGTAAAGGCGTAGATGTAGTCTATGATCCAGTTGGGCGAATTGCTGGTGAGTGCTATTATCGCGGGTGGGATCTGGAGCTACAACTCTCATTTCCGCCAGAATCACTAAAATGCATCGCATTCAAAGGGAGAGCCCTCGTAGTCGGCTTCGCTGCGGGCCAGATAGAGAAGGTATGCACTGTCTGCTTTGCATTCATTACTGCTTATCGAACACGTTGCAGCTTCCACTAAACATGGTACTACTAAAGAATATTAGTGTCATGGGCATCTTCTGGGGCTTGTATACCTGTAGGTCTTATATTGCCTCAAGGTTAGACAGAGCCTGATATCTGTACAGCCAAGGAGCCATCTCGCATTCCCATAGTATGGGAGGAACTGCTAGGGTGAGCAACATATGCGTTGGCCGAGGTCGCTCGCCTGCTAATAATATCGACTTGAGGTTATTCGCTTCTGGTCGCATTAAACCTATAATATATGAGAAGGTCTTCTCCCTGGACGAGGTCACAGTAGGGTTGGATGCACTAGAGAGACGACAAACGTGGGGCAAGGTGATTGTGCGCGTCAAGGACGAGGGGCAGAGGATCGTAGCGAAGCTTTAAGCCTTTAAGCATCTGCTAGTAGTAGTAGTAATCTGCTTATCATTGGTTGTTGGGTGCACGGGGTCCTCTTTACACCGAGCATTGGGTTTTACTCAGATGCCGCTTACCTCCAAACCACGACTGTAATACTTGATTGAAGTCCTTCCATTCTACAACTAGTCATGCAGACATATGAGGACAACGAGCCTATTGTTCGAATACGCGATTACAAGCCAGACCGAGTGGATTTTGTACTTGAGAATGTCGACCTCGGGTACGCGTAGCAGCTGCATGCGATGAACCTTGCTGAAACAAACACGCAGATTCGCAAATTCTTTTCGACGTGTAGTACAGGCAGACATACCAACCATCGGTCGGTGTCCTTAAAACATGTGATACCGTGCATCTTGACTAATTTCCCCTAGCGGTCGACATGGTTGAGGTAGAAGCAAATACAACAGTGCTACCCGATGAATTCATAGCACATCGCATTGGAATGGTCCCGTTGGTGAGCGCAAACTGCGATGAAGGCATAAGATACACTCGAGTACGTTGCGCGCTTTCACACATATAGTCTACCTCACGATGCTCGTACAGGACTGCCTGTGTTTGTCTGGTTGTCAGTATTGCTCAATAGAGCTAAGACTGGACGTCTCGTGTAATGATAATCGCACAATGGACGTCACGAGCAATCATCTTGAGGTCATACCGCCCACCTATACTGATGGAGAAACTCCTGGCGACGAGCTCACGAAAAGGGGAGAGGATTTCGGGCAACCAGTGGGGAAAAGTATGACCTACCTCTCTCGATGGATCCATGTACTTACTTTTGCGGCTATTCAGATAAGGCTGACGTACCACCAGTCCTCATTTGCAAGATACGGAAGGGTCAAGAGCTCAAGTTACGATGCGTCGCCAAAAAGGTGAGCGGCCACCTTTATGTAGTTCTCGTGATCTCACAGTTTCAACAGGGTATAGCAAAGGAGCACGCAAAGTGGTCACCATGCTCAGCAGTCGCGTTTGAATACGATCCCTACAATAAATTGCGGCACACGACATATTGGCATGAAACAGATCCACGGACGGAGTGGCCCGTCGGTGAAAACGCGAAGGAAGAAGAGACTCCAAGAGACGACGAAGTTTTCGACTTCAATGCGAAGCCAAGAAAATTTTATTTCGATGTTGAGACGGACGGGAGTCTTGGGCCTCAGGAAGTGATCATGAAGGTGCGGGCCCCATTATATGTCTTTCAGTACGATCAACAAACTCACTTGCCTTTACTCTTCCCCCGCTCCTATGGTATAGGGTCTTGCGGAGTTACAGACAAAACTTGCAAATCTAATACTTGGTTTGAAGGAAGGAGTGGACCTGCCGACTGGCGGGGATGGAGCGGAGGCTGGGGTGAATGGTCATGTCTCTGCTGGTGATTGGGCGCACCAACCAGGTGGTGGCGGTTGGGGTCAGAATGCCGCTTCTGGTGCTGGATATGCAAGTCCCGCTGGTGGTGGCGGCTGGAGCACTAGTGGCGGTAGCGGTGGGTGGGGCACTACTAGCCCAGCACCAAATACTGGGGGAAATACGGGTGCATGGGCAACAAGTCCTGCGCAAAATGCGGGAGGAGCTCCCAATACTACTTGGGGGACGAGTCCAGCTCAAGCATGGGGAGCTTCAAGTCCGAATGCAGCATCTGGGAGCGGTTGGGGGACGTCTACTCAACAGGGTTGGGGTAGCCCTACTCAACAAGCCAGTGGTTGGAACCTATGATGAGTGTTTACTTTACATATAGTTTTCAATGGCACGCATTTGATTTGGACGGCCATATTTGCGTGAGGGTGATTTGAACTACTCCATGGTAGGTGTGTCTTGACGTTTGCTCTCATTTGCCGATTATCAGTACCAGACGAGGCCCTGCTGATCTGTTAGCAAAAGATGTCTCGACTTGCATGGGTCTAGTGTAAAGTACTGCATGATTTATTTTCCAACTCGTTGATATATCGCGAGGGAGTCCCGGGAAGACTCGGAGTAGTGGGCGGGGAAATGACAGGTCTTCCTGTCTAGAGCTAGAACTAGACTATTTCAATAGAGCGAGTAATCGTTATTGTCAAGCAAACTTGGAAGTGTTTTCGAAAGACCTGTGCGCGCAGTCGACTGCTGTCGAGACCCGATTGAGAAGGAATCACGGAGAGATAAGAATTCCGGACAAACCTTAATACACAGCCACTTGAACTTACCAGCAGATCGTTCCGAGTTCCGAGTTCCTCGATAGGGGGGATTAGTACGTAGGCCCGGGTGAAATAGGGGGAACTCATCCAGCGCTAGAATACTCACCGGGCGTTGGTCAGAGCTACCTTTGTACTGCACGTTTAATCAATACGACATTCATGAGATGGAAGTTGCCGGAAACCTTGCAATTGTCATTTACATAATTTATCATTCTGATTATCCATTTAATCTATTAATCTATTAGGCATGTACACCTGCACCCAAACCTGTTCTAGTACCACCTTATACCAACACTTGGTGTAGTCTTGGACCACTCTCCATTCGCATCCCCTAACCCTTAGGCGACCCTTTTCCTGATTTTTTCAATACAGTATATTATATGCAGTGATTCATGAATATATATAATATAATCATATTAGAAATGACTGTGGAGGTTCTCACTATGTAATGGGTCATCTACTCGCACGAACCCGAGTCACATCTCGGTGTTACTGAAACAGTTTTATCAAAGTACCTCATGGTGTGCGAGCCTTGTGGTTGGATCTTACGACAAAACTCTGTCCCTCTGTCCGCCCAACCATACACTCAGGCTACCCTTATGAGTACTGATGCGTCTGGTTGGCCCTAAAGAGGGTTAGTTGCAGCGCCGCATAGACCATTACATAGGCTCAGTAATAGTAGTCCTAGTAAACGTACGAGCGATAGGGGTAGTGACAACTCCCTGACGAGAGGCTCAAAATCGCCCCCGCTCTACTAGCCTCCCTCTGGCCCACCAATATCCTAAGGAGGGGTTCAGACTCGATGGCGCTCTGCTGGCAGCTTCTGATATTATGTGCTTCGCTTCACTGTCAGTTCGTTTAAGATGTTTCAACGGGACCGAACGTCCGCTTGCTGGCGGGATTAGTACGAACAGTAGGATGATGAAACACTACGATATATATACAGGATGAACCACGCAGTACTCGGTGAGATATGTCCTACGTTAATGATGAGCGAGCGCGATGCATTCTTCTTTTACGTACAATAGAGTCGGCGAGAACGAGAACTTGCCGCCCAGATGCCAGTGTCCATGTGCTGCTGGTTTCTTCCATGCGGCCAGGTTCACTTTTGCTACTACACGGCCGCGGCCCCTTTAACCCAGCGTGTTAGCGATTATCGATTAATCTCAAGAACTCTGCCGTTTCTGTTCTAGTGCCCGTTCCTCTATATCTAGAAATATTCAGTGAGAAGCTGAATCGATTTCGAAGACTCCTTGAGAACGGTCATCTTTTCCCGTTCACCCAAGTTCTAGCTACTAGCTATGAGCTCAGACTAAACTTCTAGCTGGGACTTGAGGAGGTAAGTGGAGCCGATGGGGTTGCAGCGATGACACTAAAGATATCGATTACTAGCAGCTGTCATTTTACTGACGGTGAGGTGTCGATAGAGATAACGGTGAATACGCCGCTCTAATCGTGCCTCCCATATAGGATTAGTTCGACTAGTCAAAGATAACGTTCTCATGCACCTGTGTGTCCACTTGAGGTCCTACTTCGAAAGTGATGTTGGTATGAATTCTGTTTGAAATTGGTTGAAAATGGCTATATGTGAGTACAGCCATGAGGAAAGTAGCCACTTGTCGGAAGTGATGACAGTTTGTTTTGTCACTATCGTACCCCTGCCACGGCAGATATTAGCACGGTCACTAAATCAAGGGGGTGCATGAATCAGACATCTGCAGCCTGTCGCACTGGAACATAAAGTACTTGTGAGCGGCAGAAAATTTACAAGAGAGAGCTATACCGATCGAAACAGTGACTCTCGCTCATCTTCACCACTACCTGCAGCGCAGGGCAGAATTCTGGGACATATTTCAGATGTGTGAGATTCCCAGACTGAATGGACAAAACGTTATCAGAGTATCGGGTCGCAGAACTCTATTACCCCTGATGCCCAGCAATTACAAGTCCGCATTACACAAAAAGACGTAGATAACAAGTTTTTTAAAATGTATACCAAGATTTCTTCAGACGGGTAGCATCGACAGCGCATCACTGGACTACAGTATCCTGAGCTGGAAAGCAAGGTAAGCACTCGACAATAAGGACATGTTAGTACATGCCTGTGAAGCTCCAGTGTGCCGACGAACATCGCCGAGTCACAATAAGTATGCATGGATATCAGTTGGCGAGTAATGTTTGCCGTTTGAACCCGTGATAACGCACTTTCAAGGATGTATTATCGCGTGCATGACTCCGAACAACAGGGCAGTGGCACATAGGATTGTTGTAATTGATATTCTGCAGGACCTGAAAGGTAACAGTGAATGCCAGCTTTCCAGAACATGCGAAACGCAGATAGTTACCTACAAAATAGTTACTAGCAGCATCGAGGAGTGGATACGGGTGAAATTTTTTAGTCTTGGGGGGAGGAGGCTATGAGCACACGGTCGGACTGCCGAGCCACCGAGCCGCCAAGTTTCAAGTTCCATCAGGACCTGGTAAGTTTTAGTTGTTTTCGGGAATGCCACAGGTGACGGTGTTTGATTAAAATAGCGATTGATACGGAGGTAGTCCATATCTGACATTGGATGCCAAGCTGATACTGTGTGATAAGGTCTATTCCGAATTTAGCCAACGGGGATTCAGCAATACTTGGTCTATTGAAATATCAAGTTAATAGTACTGAGTTGAGGTACTCAGGAGGCCGCATTTCGGTCCGGCGGAAAAACAGAGCCTCCTTCTTGCCACTGCTTGGAGTACTTGTGCGTGTGAGGCGTGCACAATTCGTGACATCTGACTGGTTGCAAAACCTTCAATAAATAGGGGCGTACTGCAAGTGACAGCATTGTGCCAGGTTGCATGATTGTACATAGTCAGATGAGAAAATGCAAAAAGGCACCCATAGGCTTCGCAGAGCATGCAGATGTTGGTATCATTTGAACAGCATCAACACGCCAAGGCGGTACTCACAGAGTCTGGACCGCGAAACAGAGCGCGAGACCGGTGATCATAAACGAAACGCGATGCTATGCGTGGCTGCGCATTCAATCGCGGTCTCCTCGCACCACTACGGATCATCGATGTGGGGTTTCACTGAAAATCGAACGGCATTCATTCTTTCAGTTTAATGGCAACACAGAGAGGAAATCACTGGAAATAGGTAGGCGTATGGCGCAGCGCGTCGGAACCTGGTGAAAGCATCCTATCCATAAATTTACTAGCCTTCGACTTGAAAGATCACGATGACGCACATGTTCCAGTCGCGTGATGTCTCCCGATTCAAAACTAGTTGAGGACTCGCTGATCGCAATATCGTGTCAAAAGGCGTGCTGGGCGATGCGTCTGTTATAATACTGTTCATAAAAATGGCGAGTGAGCAGCTGAAAGTGTTACACATAGATTTCTGAATTGTTGGCTGCAACAACAGACACAATATGATTGCCAACTTACGTACGTGCGAGTGGGCCTTGAGCTTGAAGCTTGACGTTCGTTCGGAGTTCTTGCGCGACAACCCCTCGCGAGCTCAATACCCCGGCGGAAGATTCATCAATTTCCTTTTTTAAATTCAGTACCTTGCTAAGTCCAATTTTAATCATATCTAAAAACTGTTAGCTGACATATTTTTAAAGCCATTTTGGCTCCAAGGCGATACAAATGAACTCGTAGAATAAGATATGCTTATACGATAGAAAGCCGGGAGTAAGCCCCCCGCACTCGAATAGGGCTATATCCGACATAGGGTCTCCGACCCCCAAGAACAATAAAATTGAAAGGTATGGGTGGAAACCTGGACGAGCGTGTAGCAATGGAGATTATTGTCAAAGTACGCCGGCGAGTCTGCGGGATCAATCGATCATCTGCATAAGACTATACAGACCCAGTACAAGGTAGACAGGGTAGCGATATCGAAGGAACACGATCCAGCATTATCACAGCATGTCATAGACCTGATTGATCGATCTATCGACATATCTTATGTCAGTTTATGTCGCCTGAAAATAGGTTGGGTGCCCTCGATTCCGCCGGGGAGGCATTCAAGTTCGTAGTACCCTACAAGATAAAAAATTGAGCCTCTGAATCAACAGTATTCGCAACATGTGTCTGGCCTTTCACATCTAACACGCTGTGAGGGTGTCATACATGATGCATGATGCACGAGCCCGCGGTAGGTTATCTGAACCTAGAAAACAATTCTCACGTCAGACCGAGACGCTGTCTGTCGTCGCCGTAAGTACCAGACTCACCACGATTCTGTAGAAACACTATTTTCAGGTACCCTGTGGTGATTGGCCTACGCATGAGGTCGTGAGTGATATTCTTGATATGGTTTTTCGACAGCCGAACCAATTAACGTCGACACACAAACAAGGTGCAAGAGCACACCAGACCTAATCTGAGGACCCTGAACACTGTGTCGAAGCCCACTGCCAGATGAGAACATAATAGTAAGCGGAACTTACGAGGGGGCGCAGACGGGATACCGTAGTAGGCTGTGCTGGCGTGTGTAAAGAATTTGTCATTGAAGCGCACAAGCGTGCAATTGGAGAAGTTACGTAATAAGATCCAATCCTGGGTATTACTATTAATGAATGAATTGTTTCGTCTTCTTCTTCGGAGGTCATTTTCTCTGCTCAAAGCAGTAACCAGTGGTTAACGTTATACTCGGATATCAACACAACCGCAGTCATTCTGAATGCGGCTCTCACGTCCTTTTATGGCCATTTGTATTCTGATCTTTCCATCTTGATGGGAAGATTGGCGCGGCGCCACCCCGTTTATTCTCCCTGACCTTATCAGATTTAGCGTCTCGCTCGTATCATTGTGACGGGTTTCTATTACGATCTGCGCCAACGGCTAAGGTTTCCGGGACGCCAAGCCAAGGCGCTGGAGAGCAACTACAAATATCTCCCATCTCATCATTTTCATGGAACTAGAGCTGCCCCCCAAATTTTAGCATGACCACAGAACCCCAGCCTATCCGCAAAAAGCGGACTACCTCAGAGTCTAACTCTACTTCTGACGGAGACCATCGCAAGCGTCGACGCAATCGTACAACTCAGTCATGTCTTAATTGCCACACATCCAAGAGAATGGTATGTACCTAGCTTGGTACATCCTCCCCGGAGCAATCCTGAAATACATTTTTACAATAGTGCGACCGGAAGCGTCCTTGTGGCCGCTGCACACAACTAGGCCTGGTGAGGGACTTTACATGAAGCATGTACTACCATTGTCTGACAGAAAGTGTCACATAGACCGGCCTCTGTGTCTACGAAGTGGATGATCCTTCCCAGCGAACTGACGTTCAAGACGAGGGTTCGCGCCTTCGTCAACGAGTTGCCGAGCTTGAGGGAGTAATACGCGAGGTTTGTATGCTCATAGCACAGGAAAGAAGTATTAAGCTCAAATATTCATAACAGTTGAAGAACAAGCCCCATCCCCGCTGGGTTCAAGCAGGTTCTACTCCAGAAGTAGAATTCGAGAAGTGGCATGCCCGTTCTCAGTCTCGTTCGGCTGCCGAGCAGCAACAGACTGAACAACAAACCGAGCCACAAAGCACCTCTCCGTCTCGCGCAGACCATTCGGCATCAGGCCCTATGGATGAGTCACATTCGTCCCCTCGGCTTCTATCTCCTACACACGCACGTTCTGTCCTGACTTTTCCCCAACCACCTGTCGACTTGACAAACACATCTGCATCATACTCTCCTTACTTCAGTAGCATATCATCTCCATTGAGCACACCCTCTCCCTCTATAATGACGCCGACCGACGAGTACGCGCAAAATCGAGCTCTTATTGTGGGAGAGCAACCGCCCGCCGGAGAATTCGATTTTGCTTCTATGTTCATGTCGTATCCTTTGGCTGGATATGAAGACAACCTGGGACAGAACAATATTGCCGATGATACCTGCAGGTCTAAGCACTGCTACGATACTTTTGCACACGGTCATTGTAACTGTCTGACTGAAGGACCGAGCTACAATGTAGTGCTCGAGCTTTCTCTCCGCTTACGAAAAGCCGCGGACATCCTAAGCCGGTCGGCTTATCATCATCTCGGGTCTAATGATTGTGCCCTTAACCAGCGAATTATGGAACTTGATGCTATTGCTACGTGAGTTCACTCGTGCTTACACTTTACGTCAACTTATCATTATTCAACAGGACGACACTAGGCAATATTGCTACACCACCCAACGATGTCGATCAAATATATCCTCAACAACATCCGTTCTCTCATAAATCCATTCCACCATCGTCTACTTTTGATACAACATCTGGTCGCACTATGCCTGTTTCGACAGTCTCTCCGCACACTTTGCAAGGAATTCGTTCGTGGGACATTATGTCATCCGTATCGGATTCATCATCTATCTGCGAAGACTCTTTTATGTCATGGGACCCTTCACGACGTGGCTGACTATGTAACACGGACATTTGGATTGTAGTCACGATTATTTGTATTTGTTCTCTTCAGCTATTCTTGCGTGTGTGTAGAATTGTGAGCTGCCCCTGACATACTGCGATTAATACTACTAGAGCAGTAAGCATTGTACAACATACTGACGAGCAATATGATCTCTGTAATTGTATTAAATATCCGTATCAAGGCCGTCACACCCCGATGCATCCATGTTCCACATGAGTTACACGCCTCCCATACATTCGTCTCCTGAAACCCCCTCCCTAGCAACAAAGCAACATTTCTCAAACCGAACAATAGATTCTGAGAGCCTCCTGATAAGCGATCTAGTTGTGAACGCCTTGTAATTTGTCCTTTCTAAAGGGGCAGCCGTCGGTTACATTTTATTCAAGCAATAACTACAGTCTTGCATATGCTTAGTGGTCACTGAACGGTCACTCCCACACACCAATTAATCAGGTCGCGAGCCGCAAGGAAGTTGACAGACCCCGCACATTTTCTGGGGGTGGAATGATCTCAAATGCGGCTGTGAGGCCGTGCGAGGAGACAACGATGATAATCACCTTTCTCAAGTACAAGGTTTGAAATTGGGCGTTATCTTCCGATGTCAGAATATCTTTATTAGCCTAGCCAGAGACACTCGGAGCTCCATTCAACATAACTTTTCCATCAGTAAGGCAAATGCCAAGGAATCAAGAAGCCTACTTTTATCTCGAAGCTCTATAGATTCCCTTGGATTGGAGAGCACAAGTTCCAATCAGAAAGGATGAAACACTTGGGCTAGAATTAGAAAATGTATCACAGATCATCTGAGCAAAGTCAACTGGCTCCTGGTATCGAGTCTGGTGCAGATGTTTGGTGATATCTTTGGATGTATCTGGTAACACAAATAGCCGAAGCGGAAAAGGGCTACACCGTCTTGAGCCGCAACATCGCCCAGAAAGGTCTGGAGAACAATATTTACCGATGCGGCAGTCACGCACTCACGATGAGAATTGCACCGGGTTGGAACGGATGACTACGTACTGCACGGATTGAGCGCAAATATGAACAGTTGTGCAACATTGATGTGTTTGTGTTGAGTATTGCTCTTCCTACTAGTAGTCTGACCTCGAGAGCCTACTACCTATTGCTTGCTTAAAAGCTTACCGGGTATATTACCTAACATAGTGAATATCATAATGCTTACTCATCAGGAAGTTTTGGGACTCCGCGATCACTGTTCGAGTTCGTGTTGCACTCGTCGTTCCTTCCAACGAACCAAGCAGTATCGTATCATCAAACATGGCATCTCACTTGGTAAGTGTCAATAATTTATCATTATGAGTTATATCTTTTAACACCGTCCAGGCAAATATCTTCGGAACGGAGCAAGATCGTGTAAATTGCTCTTTCTACTACAAGGTACGTTGTGATTTACTGTCGCTTACAGTCGTACTGATCACAACCAATGGTTAGATTGGTGCTTGCAGACATGGCGACAGATGCTCAAGAAAGCACATAAGGCCACCATTTTCGCAAACGATTTTACTTCCAAACGTATACCACAATCCCGCCCACGATCCTGTTTGTAAGCTCACCGAGGCTGAGCTACAAGAAGGGTTTGATGCCGTGTATGAAGATTTGTATTGCGAATTAGCAAAGTTTGGACATTTGTTGGAATTACATGTAAGTAACTACCCTCAATCTGAACTTCACGGTAGTTTTAACTCCATCAGGTTTGCGACAATGTCGGGGACCATTTAATTGGGAATGTTTACGCTCGGTATGAGTGGGAAACTGAGGCACAAGCAGCGGTAGACAATCTAAATGATCGGTGGTATGCAGGTCGGTTACGAGATTCTTCATGGCCGGGATACCCATCTAACTTGTGCCTATCAGGACGCCCGCTGTATGCGGAACTATCTCCTGTAACGGATTTCCGGGAAGCGTGTTGTCGCCAAAATGAGAACGGTGAATGTAACCGTGGGGGTTTTTGTAATTTCATGCATCTCCGCCTTGCCTCGAAAGAATTAGTTTCGTCTCTCCGCGCAGGACAAAGACTAGAGAGGAGGCTCCACCCTGCCAAGACGGAAGGTGGAGGAGGTGGGTGGGAACCGAGCAGAAGGGAGGGCGGCCGTGGCAGAAGTGCTAGCCCATCTAGAAGAGGCGGAAGCAATGGGGAAGATCGTTGGACAAGAAAATAGTTCTATGTAAATCTGGGCTTGTCCTCATGCCTTAAACGTGGCTCGGCTAGGCGTAGCTTAATTGTTCATCTTGTGGACACTGAGTCTAGTTGTCCTGCATTTCATTATTGCGGCACCGAATGCTTCTCACCGAAACACTTTTGAAACGATTGGAGGTCGATGTGGTGAGCAACAGATTAATGACGTGTATATCAACGCTGCCAAGAAGCAATAGTTTTCTTCGGCGATGTCGTTACACCGTTGTCCAAGAATCGAACGTAAAAAACCGGTGTTTGGGAAAGTCGTAATGGAACAGACGCCATAAATTAGGCCTAGCCTCAGAGCCGAGTAGCTTAGCAGTACCTGTCAATGATGACTACATGACAACTACATGTGACTCCACAGTTGAATACAATGAGCTCCGTCGATTAAATAACAATTATTATATTCCGTGTAAAAATCATACAAGGCACCCGCGGTAAATTTCTCGACCGCCGGGCTGCACCAGACCAGGCCACTGGACTACGAAACTAGAAGGCGAATAAGTTATTTTCGCTGGAGATAACACGACGATCTCACCGATCGGTAAAATGATACAGCAGCTTTCCAGAAAGCGACAGAGATTTGACACGGGCGAAAGACTCAACGTACATAACCCGTGGGCTAGGTAGTCCGATAAGCTGATTTGGGTCAATTTTTCCAAATCACGAATCAACATTATGCAAGCATGCTTTAAAAGAAATCTAGAACTTACCCTATTCAGAAAAATCGTTATGCATAAAATGACACACGTTCCCGGGCCATTGAGGATCAGAAGGTCCACAAATGGTTGCCGGAATGCTCCTTTCTTGAACAATGGGCGGACTGCGACAATACGCATGCAAGCCAGTAGTGATTTGACTGCATCTGGTGGTGTACTAAGCAGTGACTGATGCACGCGACGCGCACGGGGTATAAACAAGAGCTTATATTGCGGTTGATCCTGTTTTGAATGGATCAGATCCGAAGGCTTTGAAATGTTTCGACATTCCGTACATCGGAGAAAGCATGATCAGCGGCTTTAATGTGCTCCAAGGCAAGAGCTTTTTGTGCGCTAAACGTATCGCCTTTGCTGACTATGTAAGTCCGTGGGGAGTAACGACCAAAATCAAGCGCAGAAACCAACTTCAGTGCTTCAGTAGTATGCCCCCCTACAAACGACAGGATCAAGCTGTCCTGGAGGGCCAGTAAATAAATGCTCGACTTTACCTGAACCAAGAAAAATAGCAATGCTGCAGGTCTGTGGAGGCCTGGGGTTTGCCGAGGCGAGCCTGGTGTGTCTGTAAGAAAATACGGCAAGAAATAACCTGATACAGAAGAACAGGGAGAGTAACACGAGGATTGTTGTGCAGGTGGACATGGTACGCCGAACGTTCGAATGTTGACCTTCGACTCGGAACTGGAGGTAAGTTCGAATATATTTCCGCCAGGCCGAGGAGCAGGTTCTTTCAAGTTGGAAAGATCTCGTAGATTGTTGAGCCTGAAGCAACTATTCGGCTTCAACTTGAAGTTGACAACGTTGACGGAGGCGTTGACTCGGCACGTAAATTACTACAAGCCCCAAGGCCAAACGATTACTTACCGGTAAAAGCGTGGGAGCGGCGTGGAGTACTATTAACATTAACAAGTTGCTACATAGTCACCGACTATGCCACAAGTGGGAGCAGCGGGAAGACCGTATTTCGGTATCTGATCCTTCAAAGTTCTCATCTTCGCATTCCAGAATTCATCTCTACACGGCGCTCCGATTATCTCCAGCTTGCATTTTGAGTTTGCTCTTGGCTTTCTTTCAGATTTTCTCGAACCTTACCTCTTCCCGTATATCCGATTCTGTTCCGTAAGGAGCTCGCAGACAAACTTGGCATAGCTATCTTTTCCCTGACGGTCGGTTCGGCTCAGATATCTCTTCAGGCTCTCTAACCGAGTTGACATCGGCCGGCGCCATCATGACACCTCCAGTACCTCTGATGGATGCCAGACTTGTTGCCGAATTGCGGCAGTCAATTCAGGACTGCACAGAAAGAGGGCTATCAGTTGCATCCAAATGGTGTTTTTTTTTGAAGCTGATAGTTGGATGGGGCTGACTTCAGATCTTTGTATTTCTTAGGTCCTCTGAATTATATTACGCCATCCCTTCAAACAAACGTGACACTTTGATTTCTGAGGAATTTACCACCTTTTCAACATCTACTCCTGCGTGCTCTCGGTCTCCTAGACCATCGCTATCCTTTGCAGATCCATCGCCTGCTTCCAGTGCTGCACTATGCATGCCTGTTACTCCTGGAAACAAGTCCCATCTTCCGTCACACTTCCCTGCCGTCCGTGCCCAAGAAACTGAGTTGGAAATACAGGATGAAGCTGCCTTACTTGCTGCTCGAGCTTTCATGACAGCAAAAGAGTTCACAAGAGTCGAATTCACCGTGAAGAATTGCAAAAGTGCCAAAGCACAATTTATTTATGTGTATAGTTGTTTCTTGGTTTGTCACCGAGCCCTGAACTCCGATAACAGCTAATATGTTCATTGAAGGCTGCAGAACGAAAAGCGCAACGAGACTGGTACAGACAAAATAGTGGGTTTATATTCATGGCATTCTCTATTACCTTTCGAAACCTATGATTGGTAGATACTCGAGGACAACCCCCCGTCCCCATAAATCGTTTGCTTGCAACTCTTCTGGACATGGTCAAGAACGCTACAGATCCCTGGCTTCTTTTCCTGTAAGTTCACGGCCTCAGGCTCCTCGTGCCATCTCCACAGAATCTTTGTTTTCATTTTTCTAGGAAAGCTGTTTTCTTATCACGACTCAACCGTCGAGAGGAAGCCATTGAAAGCATCATACGGTCCATCAGCGGCTACCACTGGAACTGGTCGGTATGGACCCTCTTGTGCAGTTGTGTGGGCGATGGTGACGAGGTTGGTTGAGAGCATGTCAAAGCTTACCTTTTTTGATGGCCGTTAGTTGACAGCACTTCTTCCGCTGTTACCCCTTCCTGCAACTCATCCCCTCATTCTCATGTTTCAAATTCGAACGATGAACGAGCTTCACGGTCCATCAGAAAATGAGCTGGCCATGTGCGATCGTCTTCTTGGGGATGACTGTTTCCGTGACAGTGCGTGGGTCATGAGTCTACGGGCATGTGCCTTGTACCATTTGCATGGTCGGTCCTTTGCTTATGAACCAGTGCTTTATATGATCGTGATATATATCAAAAGACTTTGGACAGGCAGAAAAACAATTTGAAAAAATCCTGGCGATTGCTCCGCACCGTATCGATGATATTGACATCTACTCCAATATACTCTATGTTACCGACAATCGGCTGAAGCTTTCTAGGCTAGCGCACGAGTTTCTTGAACTCGACAAAGATCGACCGGAAGTGTGTTGCTTGGTTGGTCAGTCATGATATGAAGCCGCAATCATTCGCGTGTGTTGACCTTTGGAATGCAGGGAATCATTACTCTCTTCGCGCAGAACACGAGAAAGCGGTCAAATACTTCAGACGGGCGACCGAGCTGGACCGAACCTATTTGTCTGCGTGGACGTTGATGGGCCATGAGTACGTCGAGATGAAAAACTCACATGCTGCCATCGAAGCATATCGTCGAGCAGTTGGTATGCAATTCACTAATACTGGAACCAGTTGAATGCTAATTATATGTTATTTTTGAGATGTAAGCCGGAAGGATTACAGGGCGTGGTATGGTCTTGGCCAAGCTTATGAATTGCTAAGCATGCACCGATATGCGTTGTATTACTATCAACATGCCACTGCCCTCAGGTTAGTTTTTGAGACTGCCCTATTTATGTTATAGGAAATTGACATTTCACCAAGGCCATATGATGTCCGTCTGTGGCAGGCCCAAGGTGCTTGTTACGAAGAAATCGGAAGGTCCGTTTTTGTCCTCGTTCCTTGGAAAAAGGGCCGCTGATAGAGAGCTATCATACCCACAGACTGAAGGAGGCCGTTGAATGTCTGAAGCGTGCTTTACTTGGTGCCGATCCCCGTGAGACTACCATCCATATGAAACTTGCCAAATTACACGAGGAACTGGATGACCAATCGGAGGCCGCGGCATATCACCGACGAGTTGTGGAAATCTGTCGTATCGAAGGTTTGGTTTTTTTTTCCTTGGCTAAGCTTCCGTCAAGTTACCTTGGTCCTGTAGAGCGGCCTGTCCAAGACTATGCCAAGTCAAGTATATTCGTCGCGCGCCATCACATGGTCATTGTAGGAGGGGATCTATTGCTTGCTAAGGATTACCTGGAACGTGTCGCAAATAGCAATGCTGAGGAAGTTGGTCAAGCATCTGATTGGCTGAAGAAGCTCAAATCTGTCCTCATCACACGACCAGCCATCCCGATTACGGAGGAGACTTCTGGTCATTGAGCTAATCGACGATTAAGTAGTGTACCTACTCTCTAATGTTTTTATTACACAAAAAATATGCCCCTTTGGAGAGGCTTGCCCTAAATTCTGCTGTTCGCGCGGTCACGGGGATTGTCACAAGGCAAAGCATCACAAACACGACAAAGTCAAGAAAATGTTGAATGCGCCGAGCTCTAGCTCCTCTCTGAAACCAGTCGAGGACTCGTCTAACGCAGTTACTTCATCATCAAATGATACGTCACCTCAAAGTTTTTCTTCCTCTTCATCGCAGGACCTTGTCACAGGTCTATCATCTCTACACATTCCCATTGTAAACGGATCTACCAGCAATGCGGCATCTGGTCTGCTGAGCTATTTGAACAATCGGACTACCGAGGACATATGCATAATCAAGGAAACCGCAGAAGGGTATGTCTCGGAGATTCATAAAATGGCCTTTACTCATGCCCCGGACAGTTTTGCGTCGTGCCTTGCTGCTGATCACGCAGCAGTGCTAAATCCTGACGTGGATTCTCCTTTTGTTGACGCAGTAGACGTTGTCCATCGGCTTCTTCCCTATCACGTCTTTCAACAACCTGAAGAAGATCTGAAGATCGTTACAGAAAGGAGACGTGCGAAAGGAAAGGGGAAGGCCCGCGATACGATCCGGGATGAAATTGAAGGTAGGAAAACACTGTCACTTACTTCATGGTGGCAGAGTTTCTTATTTTGCTTGTCATAGACACTGAATTTGCCCTGGAATGTCACCGTCGACTGAGGAAACTTGAGTCGCGATTTCGACGCGCCAAAATGAAGTCCGGCATGGTTTGTTCTTTCTGTCTAGCGGGCTTTCATTCCCTGACTCTTGACTATGTAATCCTTAGCGCCCTTCTCCAGATGATCAAGGATACGTGCTAGCTCAAGCTGTGGTGGAGTACGAACGGGCAGAGACATCATCTGTCAGCACAGAGTTACGCAACGCACGGAACGAACTAGACGCGTCACAGCGTGAAAAACGCATCGCAGCCAATGTTACTGTCAGTTCCTTTCGTTCAACCTATTATCCTCAAGCCTCGCAAACCCAATACTATCGCACGTACCCATACGCATTCACGCAACCATATACCAATACCTCTCAAGGGACTACAAATTCGAGTTTTTACTCGACGCCCATATCAGCTCCTTCGGCTGCTCCCACTACAACCTCGGCTTCTACTGCAATTCCGGTACAACTTCCCGTCAGTTCGTTGCCTGCCCTACACGCTCTCGGAATAGTGCCGATTCCTGCTACTTCTCTCCCGCCCGCAGATCAGCCGCAGCCGCCAGCTGTGCTACGAGGGTCTACTTCCAATGGAACAATTTTGAGTCTAGAGATAAATGTGTCACTACTACAGTCGCCGCAAGTGAGCGGGCTGGCATATTTATTGAATACTATGATGTCGAGGGGTACAACTTCTGGGCAAGGGAACGCTAGTTCGACGACAGGGGGACAGCCTTCGTCTGTAGTTACGTCCGACACCGCGGCTCCATCACATACGGATGGCTCGCCTGGAGAATAATTAAGCAGGGAGATGGGCCAGCATAATGGGGGGCTGGCAGTAGGACAATCGTTGTTCCTACCCTGGGGTAATACCAATTATAGTAATAGCTTGTTGTACGCCGTGTTAGCAAAGGTAGTCTCTGGCCTATAGTACATAATTCGTGAAACAGTATTATTCCAGCTTCTGTGTGCAAATAGGTTGCTGGCAAACTCGAGGTGTGCACGAGATGGACGTTGACAGCCGTGAAGTGTCAGGTAGCACTTATTTTTACATCTATGTACATCTGCCTCAAGCTTAGTGCATCAGATCTAGCTATGACCTGTACACTCCTAGGTTGCGTCCTAATCAATAGCTCTTCCTCGTTCGCTGTCAGTCAACAGTGTTGTATGCAACATGAGATCAATCGGATCATGCCGCACCCATCGAATACATGATTCAAGCATAATGCGGG